CACTTATCGAGCTGGCTACGCCACTGATTACGAATCCGCTTTGGCATCTATACAATAATAAACAAATTTCTTGAAATAACAACTTAGGAGACTTACATAAATATTTCGTCTCAACTCAGCAGCTGTTTTTTCTTCTTATCGTAGGTATATATTATGTCAATGAAACACCTGTAAATATATACATGCAAGGCACGTTATACTTTGGCAAAATAATTAAGCAATAATGAAATCTAATTTAAAGCTACAATATTTGGCTAATGCCCGAGCCGACGGCGCGAAGCGCCGTGCGAGGGTACTAATTTCCCCCGGCTATTTACACCCAGGGAAATGAAAGCATTAGCGACGTCTAAAGTTCATCAATAATCGCGGGCGTGGCTCACCAACGATGGGTGGTCATCCTCACTGATCTAAAAAATATGGCGCACTGTTATGAATAGCGGACACTGATTGGTCCAAATTAAAGTTTGCATATATAACGACTGCATGACGACAGCGAAATAGCAAACATTTCTTGATTTGATGATTGATAAATTTCTTGCAAACATATTTCATTTTTGCTCGCATTTTTGCAAGATTTTGTAAAATTTCTTTTTGTAAATTTAAAGCTTTCTCAGAAAGAAAGGGCGGGCGAAAGAATCGGCTAAAAGAAGGGAGCCGACGTTAACGAAGGTAACGAAGGTGTTTTAAATATTGATTTTATAATTGCTTTAAAACCCGACGGCCTTTGGCTTTGCGTATATGAAACAACAACATATATATGTTGGGAAATTGATCATTTTGTTATTAAAAAAGTGATATTTTTAGGCGATTTTTCATTAGTAAGAATATTCTTAAAAAAAATCGTGTTACCATGACAACTACTACAGATACTTCACATGTGGCCCAGGTATTTATTTATTTTTTCATTTTATTATATGTTGAATTAAATATGACTTTAAATTATAAAGTATAACTTACTTAGTTTCCTTTATGTATTAAGTGTGATCTGGGGTGGTTTTAGTTTATTATAATGATATAAAAACAGGAGAATGCGATATAATATACTTTATATATTGTAAAACATTGTAAAAAAAATAATGTCTAAATGCTCTCTGATTCAAAATATTGGTCGACTTACTTGTTTACTGTGTCATTTACTTCACTCTCGTCGATTATCAGGCCATTTCGTTGAACACGGTATTATCTATCATCTAATATTACCCTTTTTGTAAAGAATAATATTAGATGATTAATGATATAGGCCAGATTCAACGAAATGGCCTGAAAATCGACGAGAGTGAAGTAAATGACACAGTAAACAGGTAAGTCCGCCAATATTTTGAATCAGAGAGCATTTAGACCTTTTTTTTTACAATA